AGTATACTGATTTTATTATTTAGGCCAAATTAAAAAAGCCTTTGTCCTGGGCTGAAGTGGTTCGACAACCCCAAGCTGTATGTTTACTATTTAGGTCTCCCATAATATTAGTCGGGATATCTGTTAAAAATTTCTTGTAAACGTAACATGGAAAAGTTTTATTGGTGTTTGTATGCAGCTATATTATTTATTTTCGGAATTATTTACAAATATTTTTATTCCGACTGTTTCTAAGTTTGGCGAGGATGTTGTATGACCTGTCCGTGCTTAATAGAGTTTGATATCAGAATTGCTACTCCACCTGACGCAGTTTGTGATATTCTGTCATTTCTATACATTTTGTAGCCGGGAATATTTAATCTTTTTCCCGGCGAGAGGTGGGTTTCCGTAATAGCTTGCTATTTTAATTTGATTACTCTTTATGAAATATATGAATTCATTTTCCTGACGCTTAATGCCATTTGCATTCAGTTAATAAGTTTTAAATTCTCCGCAGTTACTTCCCATGGTTTAGTTTTTCTAAGACGTTATGAATTATAGTTTGAATTTGGGGGATAATAGCATTTAGTACTTGAGTTGTAATATTAGAGATTAGGTTTGATAAGTCTTGAGGTTGAAATTGTAATCGCGGGCTGCTAGAGGTTGTTTCGGGAGTGAAGAAAATGAGTGAGTTTCTTGGGGCGGGCGGGTGGTTCGTTATCTGTTCTTTGCGAACTGGAGCAGTATGCCCTCCTTGAGTTTTAGAGATAATTTTAAATTTTTGAGATAATTCTAAAGCCTTTTGTATCTGGGCAACCTTTATAATTAGAAGTATGATTTTGATTGCAGTTTACGCATTCTGGAGCTGTGTTTTTAGATTTTCTACACTCTGAATAATGGTGATTTCCGGTGCATTTCACACATCTGGATTTAGCCCACAATTAGCCTGTGAATGCCCAAACCTTTGACATCGTTTGCATTGAATTACATTTGAAGCAATACGTTTTTGAACTTTTACTACACTGTAAAATAATCTAACTAGGTTGAATATTCTTCTGCTTGGTAATTGTCCTCAAGTCTATTGCACAAACCGGGATTGGGTCCTATCTTTATTATAAAGTCTGCATACTTTTAGGATTGGGTAGTTTAGTTCTTTTAGTTCTTTAAGAATTTCATTTTCAGAATAATTTGTGGGCAGGTCTTTTATCACTACGTGCAAATTATTTTTTGACGGGTCTTTAAATGAGTGGAATTGAATACTTTTGTTTTCACAAAACTTACGGTATTTCCTGAAATCTTCAATAGTTGTAAACATCACCTTTACTGAGCCTCTTTCTGGTTTGGTTGTAAAGTCTGCTGAGGTGTTTTTATGGATGCTATCTAACACTTGTGAGTAATTTTGTTCATGATAAAAATTGGAGGGATTTTTATGTTTGATATTGTTTCGTTTTCTTCCCCGTTGTCTTGGAGGTCCGCTAACGGATCGAAGCGTGACGACACCTCGACGCCATATTCAGTAACTTCACTTTCACTCGAGCATTTTCTTTCGTTTGAGGTTTTTTTCACTAGTGATTACGCTTAATGGTTTTCACAACCATTTCACTTCTTTCTTTACGGTGAGAATGTTGTTGCGCACCTCCATAACTGGTTTGTTTGTTGTTGATGTTTGGAAGTTAATATTTCCGGCTCTTGCCTTCGGTCGTGTGATTGAGGAGCAGAGGCCGGTAGATTTTCGGAGTTCGGGAGGAAGTGGGGTTTGGGAGTAAGAATTGTGGTTAGCCAATTGTTGGTAATGGAATACCTGTGTTGAAGGAAGTAAATATATTGTTGCGATTCTTCATATGTTAGTTGTTTTATTTTCTCCTGTGGAAGTGAAGAAACTCTTGGTGCTCGATACTGCCACCGCCGTTTGGATTTTCATTAATCACTTCCATTGACTGAACAATTAACCCTGAGGTTTCAAGTAGCCCCCCGGAGGGGCACTATTCACACTCATTTTGACAAGTAAGTCGTTGCACTAGATAAGCAATTACTAATCTAAGTTCTGAATTCACTGGAGCACGACGGCCCGCACAGGATAACACTGCACTGACACAAACACTAACACTCGAGTAGATCTACCGCAATGCGGGCAGTAGCGCCGTTAGCCGCGCCGGCGACAGGCTGTTGACCGTCCGCTGGGGTGTGGCGTGATAACTCGACTGCTAGCGATAACGAGCGGAGCACGAAAGAGAACCTTCTCCTACCGAAGCTCGGAATGAAACTGATGAAGTTTCTGATGTAGAAGATTTCATGGCTGCATCCTCGTTCGTGGCACTTTTCCCTGTGTGTGGTAGGTAAATTGATGAAGTTGCTTTGCGGAATACCGCTGGAGTTGGTAGCACGTAAAGAGCCTTGCTGACGTTGCCACTTGATTGATTCACATCGAATGCCATTGGTGAAAGTTATTCGATGCACTGGATTAATACAATATTTCACTTATTGACGTATTACAAGAAGCACTTGAGAATATAAACTGGTTTGTCAGTAAACGGGCGGCCCGTACCGACGCTAGCGTTCCGACTTTTACGAGCGCTCTGCGATGTGAACGGCTCGGTGGACGGACTCGAATGTTCAGTAATGTGTCAGTAACGTACAACAGTAACAATTTGTAATGGGGTGTCAATAGCTGAGCAACTTGCTGCAACACCCTACTAGGTCACTGCTAGTGTGTCACTGCTGTGACACAGTTTTAGGCTAGAAACAATACGTATAATTTACTCGTATGTCGACGTCTAAACGTTTTTTCTTAAATATATTTCCCATGACTAAGTGCATGGTTTCGTGTTTCTGATAGTGCAAGTGATGAGTAAATAGTGATGGAGAATAAAATGTGATTGAGCTTAATATTTAGCACAGTGATCTTTGCAAATTTTTTCTATGTACTTGAATTTCCAATATCTTTCGCATTTCATTATACAATATAGTGTTTTATTAGTTAAATTTAGTTTTTTCTCGTAAAAGTATGTTTCAAAATGGAATGCATCTTCTCCCTGGCAAATAAGGTAATTTTTGGTCAAATTATTAACAAGTTGTTGTGAAGGGGTGTATTAAAATATTACCGTAATGCTTTCATAGAGGAAAGCATATTATGAAAATTAAGAATATATATTGATTTTACATCTAGTACTAAGACATTCTCAAAATTTAATAATTTCAATAATATATTTGAAATTAACAAGTAGTTTCATTTTCAAAAGATTTCATCAGAAATCGAAGGAGTGAAACGGCTGTAGGAAATGAAAGATCGTTGAAAGAATTGAGTGTTCGGAATTTTCAGTTGTGATTAGTGTTACATTTAGGTTTGAAACGAAGAACGTTTCTGCATTGTAACAATCAAAATTGATTACTAATTCTAATTAAAAGTAGTATGAATTGATCAGAGCAGAACGCCGCCGCCGCCCGCGCTGCCACCAAACGGTCAAATCGGGGATTGACGGGGAGGCGAGCGGACGGTTGGACAGTGTGCGCAGAGAGGCCGCGAGGTGCAACACGGACGGGGCAGTGCTGCATCAAACAAGTTTATGGTGATGTTAAGAACAATTTGGAATTGACTGTGGTTGTTAAGTGAGAGATTAGAGTTTAAGTTGAGAGATGAAAGTTGATATCAGGTGATTAGGAGGAAAGTGGAAGGCGCACCAGGACCAAGATCAAAAACATTAATACAGGAATTCGTGTGGCCGACGGCACACGTGTTATATTTCCCCCGGTGTAATGCAGCAGCGGCCGTACTGTGCAGACATTCGCGCGAGATAGAGAGAATTGCTGAGACCGGAACTGCCGACGGGCCGCAATCGCGCGTCGTGCGTGTTAGTATATGTGAGACCATTGCTTTTACTGGCTGGGGGTGGACCCCGACGAGTTCGTTGGCCGTTGCGCTGGGGACCAGCGGAGTCGATCACCGAGGAGAGCGAATTCCCGGCAGACTTCGGGGCGGACCGAAGGTTGCCGAAGACGCCGCCGCCGTTGCCACGGCGGCCCGCTCGCCTACCAGCCAGCAGAATGATTCTAAGAGCATCCAAGGTATACTCTCTGGGTAGCGTTGACTGTGCACTTATTACCAAGGCCTTGCGCATTGCGTTTTGTAAATAGTCTTTGTAAAGAGTGTTTCAATTATAAAATATTTAAATGCACAAAAGAATTTCTTATGACCATCTTCCATGCAGCGCAAACCCCTGGAAGCCCATTCACGAAAATGTACCCGTCCTTTGTATAATTTATTTTGTCGTGAGAGTACCGCTTCCCAGGTACGTCACAGTATGTAACACCTTTCTCTTGCAATTGAATAGGTGCTTCAGTCGACAGGTTGAATGAGGAGCAACCGGCTGCCCGATTGTTCTGTCGGCTACTTACAAGCAGCAGCTCCTGCTTTATTTCTCAGCCAAGCGAACGTGAACGGGAACGAGAACGGTAATCAAGATGGCTTGACCGACCATCTGCACTCCCCAACAAGAGTTGCACAAACCCTCTTACAAAATAAGAACTGGTTGTAAACATTCGTTTCTTACACTTATTTTACCTTAAGAAAAATTTCATTCTCATTTGACTCAGCATTATTAGTGCCTAGAAGAATAACAAGAATGAAGAATACCTAAATTAAAATATGGAATAAAATTTTGTGGAGTTCTTAAATTAGAAACGATTGCTCTCTTTAACAAACTTTTTCGTGCTACTCTTGTTAATGTTGCTTCTTATTCCCGTTGACGTTCCAAACTACTAGCCTCCGCGACGACACCACCATTGCAGAAGGGGTCTCGTGATCCATCTAACATATACATAAAGATTGATTCAAAAAGTATAAGTCCATTTTCTGTATTACCTCTTCAATCACGGATGTCAATATATTAAATACTGTATATATTAATAGCAAAACTATTTACACTAACTTTTCAAACACATTCATTCATTACTCAAATATTCAATATTGTTTCATAAGAAACTTTTATTTGCTTGAAGTCATATGTACGTGTCTTATTTTTCAGATGTGACGTGGAATGTAATATGTGGAATGAAAGCGATAAAGAAAAGCCCAGAAGTCCAGTACAGAGATGTTGGAGATTTATTGTAGAGTTTTTTGACCTCGATCTTTTAAAAGATCCAGGATATGTTATTTTAATGGTGGGAATGTCTCTAGCAATTTGTGCAGAACTGAATTTTTCTCTCTTTACGCCACTCATTTTAGGCGATTTTGGATTTTCTATCCGACAGATTGCCACTCTTATGTCAATTATAGCTTTTGTGGATATTATATTCAGATTTCTGGCTCCTTTTATTGGAGATAAATTACAATTTACCGCTCAAAACATGTATCTACTTAGTCTCATCATGTTAATTACATCTAGGACAAGTAAGTCTATGAATTACTATCTGTTTGAAAAATAAGTGAAATTTTACAGAAAGTGTAGATACTAAACCAAGGACCCTTTTTTTCGTTTAAGGTGACATCTTTCTATTAAAAGTGTTCTACTGTGTCTACATTCAAAAGTAGATATACCTAGCAGTCTTAAGCAATACTTCAAATAAATTAAAGGAGAATTTTTAATTAATAAATAATGCAATTCCTAATAATTAAACGGAATCGAATGTTAGACTTATTGAATCAAAAAAATTTACTTCAGCTATTCTGATAGTGACATTAAAGCCAATAGTGTTCTACTATACATACAAAATGCTCCAACCAGAGCGGTGTATCTCCAAAAGTTTATCACTTTGTCTAACTGATTTTTCTTACCGTTTATCGCTACTGGCAAATATTAATTGTGATTTATCTATCTTAGGAGGTGGTATACGTTGATCGCTATGTGGATTTCCAATAAACCGCATTTGTACTCTCACATCTTTGATTTTAATATAGTTTTTAGTTATTTTCAATATAATTATTATTATTTTATTTTTTGCCCATTTTAGAGCTCTGTTGGACATAATTTCATTCGCGGAACAGTACTATACCTCTCATGCTTCGGAAATTCTCAGATAAATCTCCTACTCGCTTCGCGAGTCGGGAATTTATCTACAATTACAAAAGCACTTGTTGAATTACCTTTGATAATGTTCCTGTTTCTTATTTTCTATAAATAACGTAAATATGTTGAAAAAATAGCAACAAAATAGCATAAATTTCTATTCTGTTAAGTTAATTAAATGAATAACGGTTAATGAAACAGTAGACTCCCAAGAACTCGAAACTAAAATTAGATATGCATGTGTGTTTCAGGTTTAATGATATTTCACGATTACGTCTCAGCTATAATTGTTGCATGTGGACTTGGAGTTGCTAAAGGGTTTCGTACTGTGTACATGGCTCTGGTAATACCAAGTTATGTTCCACTGCATAGATTGGCATCCGCATCTGGAATACAAAGTGTAGTGAACTGCGTGTTCATAGTCTTGTCAATTCCACTTATGGGTAAGTACATAATTTATACTTGTGTTATTAATAGATTTACTGTATTACGTGAGATTTTTCTTTCGTACCAATTATTCACTAACCCGTACTACACTGTTGTCACTTAGAACCGCGAATGATTCATTCAGATAACTAATTTACATGTCCATGTTGAAGTTCCCTTACCAGATATTTCCATTAACAAAATCTGCTCTTTAGACTCCTCGGCGACATATTCTTAATAATTTTCTAATTTTAATAGACGTGTGTCACTCCGCTGTACTGTATTTGTTCATGCATCAACAGCACGGAGTTTCTCGCATTGTACCCACAACCCACCTCATTTCTCGACGTGTATGCAATTGGCACACTCAACCCATTTCCGAGAACATGTGATAGCGTTAAGTAACTTTCAATCGTAATGTCATTTCTCTGAATACACCCTGTCGGGACCATTCTGAACCGGGGTAACACGACCGTGAGATAACAACATGCAATATATAGGTTTCAAGAAGGGAATAAAGGACCTGCAGAACTGTGTTAAATCAAGAACTCGAAATCCCTCAGTTTCACAGTGTGTGACCACTGTTCACAATCATGGTCCCCGAAATATTCACACCCTTCACGCACACTTGTTGCTGCTGACGAACGTACTCGGAAACGTCTTTTCCGTAACATTCTAAATGAATTATGTGGTTTGACAGTGCATTGACAGCATCTGTTTATACTTTCCCTAATAAGTACGTATATACGGAGTAATGTATGTAGTAAGAAAGTAATGTAATGCTGCGGAAAATCGATTTCGAGATTTCAACAGAAATACGCATTTTGGGATCCCCTGATACAAAAAAGGTGTTCGGTTTTTTAACAGAAAAATTTTTCGTTCCCCAAAACTACTTTTTTCTTTGAAAACGCTCAAAATTCCGCATTTTCAGAAACGCTCAAATGCCATTTTCTGAAAAACGGCTCCAATTTTTGTCTTCCAACATTTCGAACGGGTAGTGGTAATTGCAGTCTTTAATGTGACGTAAAGTTATTTTTCTTTTTTTCAAAAATTACACAAATGTAAATGTTTTGTAAATGATTGGCCGGCCACTCTGAACCAGAGGGGGGGGGGAGGAAAAGAACCGTATATCAGGCCGTACTGTGCGTAACGCAGGGATACACAGTGAGATGATTTTGAATTTCTGAATTTATTGAAAAAATATTAAATCTAAGCTTAACGCATTTTTACATTAAGGCGGTGTTGACCCCGACAGGCGACAGATCTACGATCACTAACTGTAGATTTAGATATAGATTTTAGATTTAGATTGATTTAGTCAAAAAACCAGTAAAAACTGTATGTAACGAATGAGGGAGAAGATTATCTGCGCACGTTTCCTTGAGTTCCAAAATACGTTCCCATCATTTTAACTATAAAAGTTAAAAGATGAGAAAAGTTTAAAATAAATAAATAAAAATAAAATTTAAAAGAGATTACCAATATTTGAAAAAATAGACAATTTTATTCCCGAGTTATAAAAAACTTATTTGCATCAGTAAACGAATTGCAAGAATGATTTTTCTGCATTGCTAATAAAATTGTAACTCGCCCTTATCTCCATTTCTCGCTCCTACCATTACAAGCAAAAGGAGAGTTCAACAAAACGTGTGCTAGTGAAGCTACATTTACGTCCAGAAGCAAAACAAGAGGACATCTCACCATTTGCTCATTGGATCAGAGACACTGGACAAAAACCTGATCGAGATAGGGGGGTCATTGATCCGGAAACTGAACAACAATATTTGTTACAAACATAATAATAATAATAATAATAATAATAATAATAATAATAATAATAATAATAATAATAATAATAATAATAATGTCTTTATTAATGGCGAGGCTCAGCCAAACATATTGTCTTCTTAAAATTATATACAATACAAATGTAAACTAATTCAAAATACATCACTGTTTTGTTGAAATAAACATTTTTTTGATAATCAGCGTAGTCTCTAATTGTATAGAAACAGTTATGCATCAGAAAATATTTTACTTTTAACTTAAATTTGTGAACCGACTTCAATAGTTTAATGTCCTCCGGCAATGCGCTGTAAAGTAACGTACATGCATTGTATGTGTATTTCTTATAGAGAGCTGTTCTTACTGGCACTTGATGAAAGTGATTTTTATGACGTGTGTTGTAATTATAAATATCAGTATTGCATGCAAATATGTTCCCACCGTTAAGTAACCGTCGTTCCCACCGTCGCTTTTGACAAATATCACAGATTCATAAATAGGCAGCTGGGATAGGAGGCTTGCAGGGATCACGTGGATGACATTTTTTCATTATTCGAATTAATTTCTTTAGCAAATCTGAGTATTAGTACATGATGAGTTTCACCAGAATATTATGCCATATCTCAGGCGGGAATGTACATTTGCCAAGTACAATCGGACATCGTTCTGTTTGTCTCACTCGGTTCAAACTAGCTTCAGTCATGTAATTTTTATATCTTTCCCACAATGCTAATGATTGTGTTGGAAAACATGTCAGAATAATTGCAAATAGTTGTCGAATATTATTTGGCGTAGATGTTAAAGCTGCTTCAGGAAGTGCCAAATCCCAATAGTTGTCATCCTCCAGCAGTTGTAGCTCGCGACATGCTTCTTGATAGGTATCATATACTAGACCATTAACTCTTCGCAAAAACTCAAAAGATGTTGGTCCAGGAACATTTACCAATAACAAACGCAATAGAAGTACTCACGTTGTTTTGGATGCACTGTGTAGAGTCGTCCCAATGTTTTAAATTTGAATATGCCCTCGATTGACGGATGTGGTACTCCACGTTTACGTGGGTCCCATCTTTTACCTGATTTGTTCCATGTAAAATAGCGTGGAACATGTTTTTTTTAAATTTATTTAAGGTCGCTTTTCAACAACTGGGTTATAAGCGACCAAGAGAATCAATTTATAATTTACACAAGAATACACATTTTATACAGTTATGCAATTATACAATAACATACAATTCATACAAGCATATAAATGGTCAAAATGTATTAATAATGTAGGTACTTACATAATTGGGATGGGTACACATAGTTATTTATTTACATTACACAAGTTTTGATATTAACTACATGTTTGAAGGATAATTGTATATGAGATATAGGTAATGGAGGGTCTTTATATTAAGGTATAAATTTTTGATGTTTTTAAAAGTTATAAGACTTTTGTACATTCTTCTGGAGAGGAGAACGAAATATATAGAGAATCTCTTAAATATAAGGACTGTCTTATATGGGCTATTTCAAGGCACTCCAGAATAATATGCGATGTAAATACTAGGGATCCACATTTAGGACAGGGTTCGGGGGTAAGCTTTTGTTATTTGGTGAATGTGTGAGTGATTAAAGTGGCCAATACGTAGTCTGGTAATTTGGACTTGTTGGAATCTAGTGAGTTGGAGTTTCGGGAGGGCGGGTTCAATAACGGAGTTCCTTACGAGATGAAGTTTGGAGATGGTAGTCAGCCATTTTTCATTCCACTGTCTGTTCTTGGTAATGAAGTTGCTTCTTTAGCCGCTTTCATTCCCTTCTATACCTTTATGCGTTGAAACCCAAACAATAGAAATGAAGGTTCCGTTGTTTTCTTGTGTAAATAACTGTTCTTGGATTCTTTGAATTATGGGGTTTTTAGAAAACGTGTTGACTATTGCATTTTAGGTAGCCATAGAGTCTGAGTGAATTACTATTTTGCGGTTTTCTCCATTTTGGGAGACTAATTCAATGGCTTTCAGGATGGCCCAGGCTTCACAAGAGAAGCTAGTAAAGTATTCTGGTAACCTGAATTTAAAGGTATTAAGCGGGGTTGTAGATACAATTGCACAACCAACTTTGTTTTTTTTTTGATCCATCTGTATACACTTTTTCTATATCATAATAGTATTCATAAAGAGAATTCAGATGCGATGAAACTATTTGTGAAGAGATTAAGGATTTTGGAATCTGTGTAGTCATTGTATTAACATCAGGTTTAATGGATTGCCAAGGAGGGATGAGGTGTATCCTTCTCTGTAAAATGTGAGGAGTTTCCATATTAAATTCATCTTGATAAATTGGGATTCTTTCTCTGAGTGGTTTTGGATATTTCACATGAATTGAATTGTAATACGTTTTATAAGGACTGAAGATATATTTGAAGGTTGAAATAGTTGTGGAATTTAAAGTTGAGTAGCCAATTTTTAGACATAGTTGTTTCCGCTGTAAGTCGAGGGGAAGTAGTCCTGCTTCTACAATAAGGCTGTTGATAGGGCTTGATTTAAAGGCTCCTAAACATATATGACATGCTGAATTTATAATAGGCTCTAGCGTCTGTAGTGTAGATTTGTTAGCTGAACTGTAGATTACAGCTCCATAATCTAATTTGGCTTGAATAATAGAAAGATAAGCATTTATTAAACATTTCCACTCTGCTGCCCACTTTTTAGATGCTAATATCTTCAGTATGTTCAGCCTGCTTTTGCATTCGGACTTTAGCAGAGAAATGTGGTTCTTCCAAGAGTGCTTCTGGTCGAAGGTCAAGCCCAAGATTTTACAAGAGTACGTACGACGTATGTGATGGTTTCAAATAAAGACGGCAGGATTTTCGTTTAAAAATTTTTGAGCTTCTAGAGATGAAAATAAATTCCGATTTAGTTCTTGAAAGGGAGAAACCTGAAGAACTTGCCCATGTTTGAATTTTGTTTAAGGTTTCTTGGATTATTTTAGGTGTTACTCGGAGAATATTGCCCCAGCATACAATGTAAATATCATCAGCGAAGATAAATAATTTACTTGGTGCTTGTATGATACTACTTATTTCATTTATTGCGATCAGGAAAAGGAGCACACTAATAACTGAGCCCTGAGGAAGGCCATTTATCATTTCCCTGCGTGTTGACATTTTATCAAACATGCATACACGCAGATATTTATGTTGCAGAAAATGTTTCAAAAAGCCCAGAAAGTTTCCTTTAATATCCATTGAGATAAGATTACGGAGTAGTCGGGGTTTAAAAATCATTTTGTAAGCTTTCTCAATATCAAGCGAAACAACAATTGCATGCTGATTAATTGCTAGTGCATCACAAATTTCTGTGTCAATGTTTACTAGATGGTCG